GTGTAAACATACTGTAAACATTGTGTCAACTTATTTCGCAAGTATGGAGAACAGCGATAGATGGACGGACGCTGAAGTGCAGGCACTTGTAGCATATGTAGCACTGCCAGTTGTCGTTGGAGATTCTTAGTCCTCCTTTCAATCGCTTTATGTATACGTCGACATTCCATGTCCATTATTGTGAAACCCGCGAGACACAACAAAAACACAGCTCCGATCACAGTGTCCTCCATCCTCCTGTTGTTAACGTTGTTCTTCTTTTGTTTCTGCTGTTGAACGCCGCGCACAAATGACGTTGCTGTCGACCGGCTTACGTCACTTCTTAGTACACACTCTCGGTGCGAATGCAACCCTTTAAATGGTACTAGGATATAGTTTGCGCAAAATCATCCCAGTACTTTAGTACTGTACATTTAGTTCTGGAACTAAAACGGTGTGAAAGGCCCTATAGACTTAGTAGCGGGGAAAATGCATGGAAGTCACTGGGGACCCGCAACTGTTTGGTTACCCACATTCTTCAAAATAACTTTTATGTTCAACAGGGGAAAGAAACTAACTCAGATTTCAAATAACCTGAGAGTGAGTAAATGATAACAGAATTTTCATTTTTGGGTGAACTATCCCTTTAATGTTAATAAAACGAGAAAAAGAGAAAACTCACTCTCTGCTCTTGACTGAAGAAATTTAATACAGTTGATTTAATAAGAATCAATGCATTTATACAGTGAAGTGTATATAATGTTTTATTTTTATATTTGTTCATTCAGTTTCTTGAATGCTACTGCTAAATACACCTACTGTACCGGAAAAATAAAGCACTGTTTGTTTTATTTGCATATTATGTGTATTTGTAATGTGTATCTTTGTTTTTATTTTATAATAACAAAGTTAAAATAACACTTTTTATAATCATTTTTATCTTCACCCACTTTGGCCTAGATGTCTGCCATTCTTATTTATTTTATATGTTGTCGCCTTGTACGGCTTTGTTTTTAAAATAGGGAAGCTAGTTTGGCTGTACTGCTCAGAACACTTGCAAAATAGTAAAACCAACATGACAAAGAATCGTGATAAAATCGTGAATAGTGATTTTCCTGAAAAATATCGTGATATGATATTTTTGCCATTTCGCCCATCTCTAATTCATGCTTTTCCAGCCAACTGTCCCTAAGTCTTTCTCTCCAGTGATCGACTCATTTAAAGGTGGTGTGACTTTTCTAAGCCATTATTGGAGCTTCGTCTCAGATGTCAGCAATGTGGTGAGATTGCAACAGGCATTCCTGTTACAAAGAAGAGCGTTCAGAGACAGTTGACTCATTCCATCCCTGAACATACCGTTCGCAGTGAAACACATGTACGCACACAGATTCCTTTTTAATCACCTTGTCAGACACCCAGTCTCTTTCTGTATTAATGACATTCAAGCTGTCCTAAACATCAAAATTAAATGATCTGTAGACAATCATGGTTTTGCAACTCTTGAAAACATCTCTTACACAGAAATCAAGGGTGTGATCACATAAACAGTGAAGGGGATGCAACTGACCCTAATATTCAGATAAGGGAAAAATCATTTCAATGGTTGATTCTTTAATTATAATATTTGATCCTCCCTGACCTGAATATGTGGTTGCATACTAACTAAAAGGGATTTTCTGTAAAAGACACAAGGATCCACTTGTAATTTACATTAAAATATGAATTATAATCTAAATAGATTTCATGAAAATATGCTTGAGGAAGCAAGTCAGTGTAACCAAGTTCTGAGCCGCATCTCTATAACGGTTAGTCGGGGACATGAAATTACATAATTTACAAATCTAGGAAAACCTAAATTCTCAGCACATCTCACAATAAAATTTTTAAAAAGCCAAAGGCAAAAAATCACATTTTCAGTCCATAAACATACTTCTCATTTCTACACCACAAACACCAAAAACATCTGTCCTTAAGAGTTTGATGGATTAATGAGAAAGAGAATCTTTGAAATAGTAAGAAGTGAGTACAATATAAAGGAATGCAAAATGTAATATAAAAAGTTCAATTAAACGAATATAAATTCAAGGAGTTCTCTAGCATCAGAATTGAAAATGGGTGCATCACGTCCTCTCAGTTTTGTACAATCCTCCATACATCTCAGACGCAACAACTAGGATATGAAACACACAGCAATATGCAAATAAGATTACAGCTACAATTTTCTTTCAAACATTTATTCTTTCATTTTAATTAAAATATAAGGCCACATTTTGGACAAGTGAAATAAGCCAAATTATTGTTAAATAACGTGTGTAATTAATTTGAGTGCGCTTTTTTACTTGATTTTGGATATGAAGCATAGCACCATGAGAAAACATGCTTTTTTCTATAGTAGGTTAGTAGTGTGGCCATATTTAGAAAGCAGTTTTAAATATAAAAGGTAGGTTATATGATGATAAAGAATATAAACAAGCATGAAATAAAAACTTACAATATTTCCCTTTTGTTACTCATTCCTCTCGTGTGTTTGACCATATATCCGTCCATATGCAACTTCAGTTTGTCTTACCGGCGAATGCCAAGCAGCTTAAAGGGGAATGAGCCCGCCCTCTCAGCGCGAGAGTACTAGATGTTCTACCGGCAGTATTTTACACTTCTACACACTAATAATCGTCAACACGATACACCTCTGCGAGACGGGGAAAATGAAATGAGACTAAAGGGGGAGGAGTAAACGCGGGGGGAGGGCAGTGTAGTGTAAAAATTAAGGGCAGGCCTTGGAAACTGTCCACAAAGTAACACAATGTTCCGGCTCTACTGTAGCTCGCGCTGATGAGAACACAGTGTCCTAGTAGACACCCTGACCCGTAACCCGTTGTGTGCTGACTGAACAGCTCAAGTTAGGAACAGCATGTGCAACCACACAGTCAGAGCACAGCGATATGCGGAAAGAACAACACGACTAAACGTGGAAGTTTAAAATGATAGATGCATTGAAAAAAAAATCTTGTTGTGGTAAAATTGACAGCTGAAAGAAACTTACGGTAGACGTTTGGATGGTATAACCAATATAATAACACACAGGTGACACAACAGAAAACCACATGATGAATTAATGTTCATCACAATGATATCCGTTTATCATGTGTATATATACTGTATGTATATATATATATATAT